ATCTTTTCTATCGTGTCCCGACTTTTATCATCTATATCATCATGAATGTTCCATGTCTGAAATAAAATGAGATACAGAATTGTTAGCATGACTGTTCATATGCAATACTTATGTTTATTAGTATAACAGACAACTGATCCATTGCCAAAATTACACAACTGCGACTAAATATGAAAATATGAAAATCACTGATTTAAAGCACTGACTCTTTTCCTTGATAATTTATATTTTCATATTTCCTATTTTTTTTTAATAATTCTTTTTGAGTTCTGCTCGTCACCAATTTGTGATTACATTTTTTTCTCAAGTAGACCAGTATGTGTGTATGTTGTTGGTATAGTGGGCATTCAAAAAGTATGAAATTCATCCTTGATAATGTGGGATCAGCCAATTGTGCAACTCCTTTAGGGCAATACAAACAGAATGAGTGCGCCCAATTTCAATTGTGAGTTTATGACTTCAGCAATGTAACCAGTCAAGGTCTTTCAATGCTAATTACTATGACTACAACAAGGAATGGAACAGAAATTGCAGTATAAGACACGGTTTTGCTAATGATATAGCTATATTACTCATAGTGTAGCTTCCTGTGGCAACACTCTATGTTATGCAGTTTTTGTTAGCAAAATAGCGTCTCATACTGTAATATTGCCGTTCCATCCTTTTTTTGTGATCACAGTAATAAGCGTTTTAAGAATATATTTTTCCAAATTGTAGATGAGTTTTTTTAACTATATAATTCTAATAAGGTTGACATATCTGATAATTATATTATATATATAATGTAATGTTACCAAAAATTCTGATTGGCTGAAATATTTATATGATATTTGGTTGGCATATTCAATATTTATTCACACTTACTGGTTCATGTTCTAGTAACCATGGTGGGTCTGAAAACTCTGGCAACAGGTTGGCACCAGATGATGGTGGCACATTCGGATCGGAATGTAACTCCAAGCTGCTTGTTCTGTCATGACAAAGATTAAAAAGTTTATTTGGTTGCACTGTGATGTAATGTACAATTTTGTCAACCGGCATGAAAATGTCTGATAATGAATGTCAATCACTGATCAACACTGACACTCATTCTGCTGTAAACAACATTGCAAGCAAATTGTTTTATTAATAGGGACACATACATGTACATTTAATAAAGCAGAAGAGAACAACACCATTATTTTAACTTCTGGTTCAAACGACCAGTAGCCTGGAATCCAGCCATTCAGAGTGCCCTTCCCAGAGCACTTACGAATGACTGGTGAATCGATCACTATGTAAATATGCAGACAGCACAGAATTTTATGTCATCATTGATTGGGTGTCTCCATGACTTCAGTGCATTACCACTTCAGTGACTGACCAGTATGTAGGGCCCGCCCAAAGCCCTCTGGACTGATTCACTCGTCTATTATTTGTAAATTTTCAAAATTACTTGATAATAGATGGCAACTAGTCCAGTTATTGCCAACCAGTTACTGTGCACAGGCATAAAATGTAAATGTATTGCGGTGACCTATATTGTTTTAAAAAAAATAAACTTAAAGTGAGGTGGTCGTCGTGCTGCGCATGTGCAACAATTGTGTTGATAAACATTAATTTCCATAATCCAGTGCTCTCTTCAAATGGAAATCACAAGTATGAGGTTTAATCATCTTGACTCGACTTGGACTAATTACTGCCAGTGACTTATTTAATACCTTCCAATCACCTAAAAATTACCTAATTAAAGCTGGGAAAAATCAGTTTGTACTCATTGATCTGTGCAACAGTCAAAGTAGTCATCTTTGTTTATATGAGATCAATATATCTTGTGCATGCTTGGCCCGACCTTTAATATATGCATCTATTCAGGTTAGACATATTCTGAGCATTAGGACCAGGTCAGTATGTGTCTGAATGGTAAATATATAGCTCACTGTCACTCAATAGTAAGGTGGTCCATCCCATATACATATATTTATAGGAGAGCTTTGTTACTTAACTTTTATTCAATCAAAAGATTTTTCCAGATTTTAAGAAATCGCAATTTTAGGGTTTAGGGGAATGTATGATATGACAAAGATTGAAATTCAAAATATATCATTTATATGGTAAACAAAATCCAGGTATAATGTAAACAAATTGCTTAACATTTTCCCATGATCCCATTGTGAAATCCCAGGAATTGACGGCCTGCCCTTTAAATGAGAGATGATAAGTCAACAGTGGTGGATCGTGACGTAGGTATGTCAAATAACAGGGAATCAATAAAATTCATTCACATCCAAGGGGAACTACAGTACAGAGTGTGTTACGGAATTATCCCTTGCTTATCACGGAGATGATAATGACCAAACATGTTGTTATCGTCTGTCGATATTGATTCTGTTTACAGTCATGAAGTCAGTTCCACGGCGAGAGGAGGAATATTAATATTATTATTACATGTGTGAACATCGGTGTGTCATTGTTTATACAGTAGCATTCGAGTAACAGAACTAGTACCGGGACAGATTATTAAATGAATTGCCGATCTCTGAAATCTCGATTGCAGTAATTCTAGTTGACGTAGCACAGCTCGTTCATCCAGTACTCGCCAGTGCGACAGTTTTACTGAAACACTGTATTAAATAATACTCACTGCTCATCATCATCTTCGAAACCTTCAATATCAACTTCTATATCGTCCGCCATGTTGCTCTCAGTCCTTAATAGGACGCCCTCTAGAGCTAATGAAGTTAAAACGAATGGATTCAATCTGAACAGTCCCCGTCTCTGACAGGGTGACTGCGGCCATTTACCAAAGGGAATTGAGTGATAGATATAAGATTTTTTGTTAGGATGATGCATTTATTTATTTTTGAGAAATGTATCCGGCTATCATTCGTGAATCACAACTGGCGAGTTTATAACTAGTAACTCAGACCAGATTGTATTACTTGCGGGGAACCCCTAAATCTAATTATAATTTTATTTATTGTATGTCATGTATTATTTAATTTCATATATTATATTATAAATTGAAGTAAAATATATGAAAAATAAATAATTACAGTGTAAAAAACTTGATCCCGAACTAAGATTTTATTTTGTTCCGATTAGCATATTATATTACATTGTGAACTTGAATGTACTGAAATTTGAAATGCGGTACCAATATCCAATTTACTGACATGGTATTTTTCCGAAAAAAAAGAAAAAGAAAAAGGATCCAGGACTTTGCCGGAATAATAACTTAACCCATTTTCTTTGCGTTGTATGAAAGTCTGTTTTACCTCCATATCGGTTTGTGTGCCAGTCCAACTCGTTTTTAGGATGGGAGAACTATTCATTATGGTTTTCAAGCGATGTTTAATTTGTATGACAGTAATCTGTGAGTATTCTTAATAGTCTGTTCATTCATTGTTTACTATACCCTCGATGTCTAATTTAAAAAAAAAGAGGCAATTAAGTAGTTTTTCTGATGCATTTTATATGACTCGTATCGTACATACATGCAAAGCGGGGCAAGGTACTGATCATAAGTTTCTCGTATTAACTCTCGCACAAGGTGAATTCTCGTGTTTCGTGAGATTGCCAAGTGACAACACAGAATTTGCAGGAAACAAAATGGCTCCTGGAAGAGTGTTTTTGTTGACTTTGGTCTGCACTTTGTCGTCAAAATTCGTCCTTTCATCGGACATTTTCAACAATATACTGGACGATGTCTCACCGTGCGTGAACGTGTGCGATGACACATACTCACCTGAAACGATTTTAGACACAGATAATAAGGTAACGTCGTGATATTTTTTGTGTATGAAAAAAATAGCTGGTGGCGAAAATCAATGGGTTTTTAAATGCATTTCCCCACCACTGTCGTCTTTTTGACAAGGGCATAAGTGTAAAATTAGTCTTTGTCTGCATGCGAAGATAATTTTGAATATCAATTTATCGCTTTGGTTTCATGTTTTATTCTGTTTTCATGTAAAAAAAAATGTAGTACCACTGCACTACTACGTAGCTATAGCTTGAAATAAGACTTCTTCGCTGACCTTGGGCAATACTTTATTTTCTCTTTTGTCACTTCGTTAGACACTGTGTTAATAAAATATGCATATAGCCATCAACATCACACATCAACGGTATGTGACGAGTAATTAATGAAGAGTAACTGTTAGTGGTGTTGTTGACACACTTGCATTGTAACACATCGAACAATTGCTTATTGAACCCGAGGATATTCATACTATTATTGTATTGTAAGAACGTAAATATCGTTTTATTTAAGGGATACCTTCACAAAAATGTTGAGAAAAACTCTCTAAATAAAAACTGCGTGTGAGATGACGGATATTTTTTTTCATTGGTCATGTGATATTGACAACATGTGGTCACTCGAAAACAAGCTGTTACCGTTATGTGATGTTAATCTTTTTTTTTTCAGGTGGACGATCTAAATGCTTGTAAAAGAGGATGTCGCATGTTTTCCGTAATGGAGCTCATAGTGGATCAGTCTGATGATTTTAATACAACATATCAACATTGTTCAGCAGGTATTATTAGTATTTAGAAATAAAAGAATATTTATTTTTGTCTAATACATATCACTGTGTGATACCAGTGATTCAGGTGCTCACTTATCATCAGAAATGTCCTAAGCTAATTTTGAGGCAAATGGAACATATTTTTACTGTAATATGTGAACTTCATAGCACAAAACTATACTAGACAGCCCAACAACATGTTTATTTTCCCAGTGGCCACTAACTGTTTCTCAACTTTTTTTTTTTTTTGCACATTTCGGCTTATATCTATATACACCATCAAATTACATGGAGGTCCAGACTTGTACACCTACACAATTGTTTTCTTGCATATCCAAACCAAGATGACTGAGTGGCAGCCATTTTTTGGTACATTGTTTGGCTCACATCCGAAATGCATTGTCTAATTACATATCCAAATGTGATACACTGACTGTTTGTTGATGCTGCTTCCTACATACATATTTCATATTTTGAACAACTTTGAACAAACTATAGATATGAAAAGGTTTTAATTCACTGTCTATAAGAAGCACATAAATACCAACCTTTCGTTATGTCATGTACATGCAAATATGAAAGGGGAGGTTGCTGTGACATTCTCAATGACTTGTCTTTTTTATAAATCTGTGTATTGGTTGTTTTCTCCTTTACTCAGATAGATTTCTTTTATTCATCCGTGAACGTATCAGTTTAATGATATTAATATGTGCTTAATAAATAAATAATGTGTAGTGGATAGATAAAAAATATGAATAAATAATTTTGCAACTAATAAATAAATAATACCCTTGTTTGTATTTGTCACTTTAAATATCATTAAAAATTTAAATAAAGACATCAACCACCCACCGACCCATCCAGCATAATAACATGTATATGTATGTTGTATTGACTCCTCTCTAAATCCGTAATTTTGGGCAATACCCATGTCTTTGTTTGGTATTCACCTTCTAAAAGTGTTGAGCCATACCTATTGAAAGCTGCCTGCCATGTACTTTGGATTATTCTATAAAATTCTATTTTGGGAGAAAAAAAAAAATAGTGTGTTTACTTTATTAAAAGTTAACATTTATGAATCATATAGAGCTTGGTGCATTTTAAATCTTACCAAAGGTAACATACTTTATTACTCTGTTGGAGATGTGCTGTCAAAAACAGTATTTAAGAATATCGTGAGTTGGTGGGGATGTTTATTTGGTATTTGTTTGGAGGTTCATATAATGTACTGACTGTTGTAAACGAGAATGCACTTCAATATAAGTCACTGCTCAAATTTATACTGCAAACTGGTTGATTTTCATTTCAGTGAAGATTGCAAAATTTTGTATTTGTAAAAATTTTGCTGGGTGTTCAAAGGTCATGTAGACATTCGAGAAACGTTCTCCTCATGAATCAATAAATCGTCAAAATTCTATAGTAGCGACCAAAACATTAAACTGTAGAATATACATTTTGAGGAATGGTATCTTTGTAGTTTTTAATATAACTCAAAGATTTAGTTGTCCTTAATAGGACATTTTGTCCAAAATGGCAACTAGCGTCACAGGACATTTAAAATTGTTTGCCATATTTTGGGTGTAAAACAGTAAATTTAACAGAAAACACTTAAGCCCTTTGTCTGAAATCATTTTGGGAAAAAATATTACCAAATTGCTGATGTCCTGTGAGAATCTGAATCACTGATGAATAAAAAAAATACTGAATTTCACTGGGTATAAATTAGAGGATTGGATGTTACAGGGATATTCACTTTTTTTGTGAAAGAAAAAATAAATTCAAATAATCAATAGGCTTTTATTTAGTACATTCAGACATCAGCACAAATTTATGAAAATAAAACTGTGTGAATAATTTAACCCTGTATTGTAACTACCCGGTATACAGGAATAGACATCACATTTATGGGGGTGTATTGCACTGATTGTTATCATGCATAATTCAACTATTTTACTTTCTAGCTTGTTCTGAGGCCTACCAGTTATCTCTAAGTAGCAGATATGCTTGCAACTTAGGGTGTAAAAGCGAAGTACCATTTGCAAAACAAAGGCAACAAGATGTAAGTATTTACATTATATTATGTGATTCTATCATATTCTAATCTGATTTCTTAACATATTGAGTTCAACTAATGGTTGTTCCATTGTATCCAAGATTGTTAAAATTCAAAAATCACATCTTACCATTGGGTTGAACACCAAGAAAAGTAATCAAACCAATACCCTCAGTGAGTGTGCTACTCAATTTGGAGACCAAGGCTACTGGCTGATGAGAATCATCATCAACTTACTGATACAACTTCAGTGTACAGTCTGCAGTTCAACTAAGCCTGATTGACTCTAGAATAGATTATTAAATTCCTATTTGATAGAATAGATGTAAAAATAGAACTTTGTTCATAGTTGAAAAATAATCTATATATATATATATATATGAACTATGTATTTGGTTAGCAATTTGCAATACAAAGAGTCAGGAAAGACAACTGTGATATCAAAGCTTAGGATCTGTTGCTTATCATACAGGAAAAAACAAATTTAATATGATGTTGAAAAGTAATGTCTCATATATGTAATCAGACCAATATTTGATAGCATTTATTATATTCTTTTTTATTATTATTGTTTATTACTTCAACTGAAACTGTCTCACGACTGATCGCCATATAATATACATCCCAACATCAGCTTTAATGCTATATACCGGTAATTCTGGTTGGTTCCTCTAACATCTGTGACCACTTATACCATCATCTTTTTATTGACACACAGCCAGCAGTGCCTGGAACATTCTGGATGTGTCATCATGAGTAATAAACTAAACCATTTAAAATCCAAACGTATGTAATCTGCTGCTATACATAACACACAGCAGTTTGTTTATTTATTTACCCATCAACAGCACACTGGACAGCCACTTACAGATGAGATAAAAAAAAAAAAAAATTAATAACTAGATAAATTACAATAAGTAATACAAATAAGTTCACAAACTATTAAATAAAGTTTTCTTAAATACAAAGGGAGAATCACTGAAATTATCACCACTGTTAACCGTAAAATCATTAAAAAATCTAGCTGAATGAATCATGAAACCCTTCTTTGTATGTAACCTTCACTCTGTTTAAAGGAACATGAAAGATACTCGTCTTCCTGGCATTAAGCCTCTTAACTTTCAGGTTAAAAATAAAGTATATATAGTGCATGATATCCCCTGTTTACAGGAGATATCATGCATTTTTCCAGAAATAACATGATATCTCTATGCGTTGACTCAAACCTTGTATAACCATACTGCATTGGCACCCTCTGAAATATTTATATCACAATTTCAATTAGTCTTTCACATCTGGAGAAGTTTGTGCTTTGGAAAAGAGAGAAAAATCTTGACATTACTCAGGTTCCATACATTGTATCAACATTTATACGTCTAGCTTTCTTGTACAGAGTTCATGACAAATCTTCAAAATCACTATAGATTGCTGGCATGAATATCTGATAAATTACATGGTATCCTGCATGTGTTATTGTTCTTTTATTGAATGACATTAAAGATAGACAGTATCTGTATAATGCTGTTTTAATGGTTACATAATCACTTTTGACTTAAAGTGACTCCCGTTCCAATTTAACTCCTTTTTTTTGTGCCCAACAACAAAGCTCTTTTCAGACAGTTTGTATTTATATCATTAGATATGCGATCAAAATTGATGACGGGGGAATAAAGGAAACGAATGGTCTGTGTTTCCTTGTAACTTTGAAATGAAAACTCTGATTTATGCGCTGAATGGTTTAACACATCATAAAAGCTTCATCAGTTTGACTGCTCCTTAATAGTTCGTTCAGAAGCTCTTTTGACTAAATCTTGTTCGGTTTTGAGTTGATGTCAGCTAAAATAAAAAAACATTATAAAGTGGAAGATGCTTTCTGAATGTATCAGAAATGATACACTTGCATTGAATGACAGATGGATTGTTGAAGTGTCGCTGAAATCACTTGTGAGAATCCTAATAGAAAAATTGTAGCTGTAACCTGTTAAAAAGCTTGCTGTAGTAATTGCACTAGTGTATGGACTCTGCCATTCTGAATAATACATGTATTATTACAAATCTTCTATATTAAAATAGAAAGTGTCAGTATCACTACACCTAATATTTGTTTTTACTCCAACATTTCAACTGGATCATTATTGTTAAAAAACAGTCCAACTGTAATGGAATTTTCATGTTCTTGAGTACTGTAAAATACTTTAATTTTGCCTAGAATTTACTTTTACCATTTTCCTAAGTGATTAGTCAGTGAAAATAAAAAACAGTGAACCTTTTTTTTTCAATATTTGACATTAAACTTGTCAACAATAAACTCAATACAAAACACCCAAAAAGTCTTTTCAGCACAAATTAATTCTAGCTAATATAAAGTATGTTACAGTATGGGTATGTATATTTTACCCTATGGCTGTCATTATGTGAACGTACATTGTATAGTCTGGGGCACAACTATCTTCATGGATGAGAATATTCCACAGATTTCTAAGCCCCAGGGGTCAATTTTCTGAAATGTCTAAATCCGAGGAGAAAATAAATTTATAAGAATATAAATCTTGTTTATTCACCAGAAGTAAACTGTCGGGTCATTGTTGTGGGCTGCAAGAGGCCTGTATCAGTGTATGGTTGAAGGGAGACAACTCGCGGTGTCTCCAATGTGGAATCATAAAATCCGAATAAATATTTCTTTTTTAAATCCCTGCTTAATGTTCATCAGTAATAAACTACATTTGTAATACAATGCATTTTTCTTACCTCGGAGTGAGCTGCCCTGTCGCCCAGCGGAACCAATGACTTGGACTTGGAAGTCGTTAACGATGTCAGCCTGGACCCCGGCTACTTTACTTTCAGCTGAAAATTAAAATTCTCATTCTCATCCCTGTATCTTGTGTGGTAATAGTAATTGATAAACAAATGCTGAAATTGAAATAAAATCATGTAAAATGAAAAAAAGAAACTTAATGGGTTTTTTCATTTTCATATTCCTACACTCAGGATTAAACATAACTTTAAAATGAGTTATTTATTAAAATGTAAATCTCTGATCCCACAGGTTGAAGATCTGCCACCTAGAATTCATATTCTAGAACCTCTAATGATGGTTCGTAGTTTTTATAACAATTTTGTGGACAATGCTAGAAGCTATGCATCCTGGTCTTGGTCTATGTATGTGGAATCAGAAAATGGTAAAGTTTATATGTTTAGCTCTGAGCCAGAAATATATACAGCTAATCCGTCAATGGAAAGACTCGTAGCTGGTGAGTACATTTATTAGAATACATGTATGTCGCTTCACAAGGGTTAGTGGATAATAAAATCTTAGATGCAAATGACTTTGGAGAGCAATAAGCCGGCTTATATTAAAAGAGTTTTCTATTTTCTGGGCTTATAATAAACAAGGTGTCTCTATAATGTATCTCACTGTATAGTTCTTGTTCTGATTTGAAAAACGATGAGTATAATGATATTGTATGTATTACTGTTACCAGAATCACAACTATAACTATATAATAATTTGTTTATATAACACATTTTCCAAAAAACATGGTGTATCAAATTAGTTTATAACCAACCATGGTATTTTCTGCTCCACATCATATGTTGTGTGAATGTTTTTTTCTTTTTAAAAACTCGTTCATTTCTTTTGGTCAAATACAAAAATGGTACGCAATCACTTTAAATTTAAAAAACAATTGATTCTATTATCAGGAAGTTATCCAGCAAAATGGGAAGTCTTTACTGTAAACATCATTAAGCACAGGGTTTGTTAACTGAGCAGTGAGCTAGCACAAATAAAATTATGTCTGATGAAGAAAATGAAATTTAAATTTTGTTTAAAGTCATCAGAACCATCCAATTTGTTTTTTAGTTTAATGTCAGAGGGAAAAATGATGTCTTATAATATTGTGATCACTGAGTGATCAATCACTGTTTCTAATCAAGGTGCCAAAAAACTGTTTAATTTTCAACCCTCGCTAACAAAGTGTGGTTAAAATGAACATTCTGTACAAAACTTAGATTTGACGTTGTTCATTCATGTCTTCATTCTTAGCAATTAAAAGTGAAAAAAGCATTTCTTTATCATAAACTTTTTTTTACAGCGTCCTTCAATTATTCATTATCTTTTGCACTGTGACTATGTCAAATGATTCCGTTACCCTGACGAACAAAATGTTAATGAATCCAAATTCCTCAATTTTGTATCTTAATAGCTTTTAAACACAATTGCATAGACAAAGTAACGTCTCGTTTATACAGAGAGAGAAATAATAGATTTTTATTATTGTCGCTTTAACTATTTACATTTTGACATGAGATAAATTATGTTGCAATTTGGCATACCGTATTTGCTCAATTGAAATTACGTCTTCAATAGAAGAATTACAGTAGATATATACAATGCAGTAGTATTTTTAGTAATCGTTGTCCTAAGTAACTATTCAAAATAGTGTTTTATTTACTGGATTATTAAAATAATACCGGGTACTATTTAGGATCATAGACACACTTGTGTCATTTAGGTAAGTATATTTGCTGATAATATCTAGCAAATATGGTGATAGAAATGAAAAAAGGCAGCCTTTGAACAACAATTCATATTACTTTATTTGTATTAGAAGCATTTATTTGTTTATTATCCAGGATCAGACAAAATACAGCGTGATATGGAAACTAACCTGCAGCCCATCAAGAAAGATGAATCTACCATGTATCCAGATATAGATAATAATAGTGACTGGCTGGGATGTGTCTCTAAGAAATCTGGTTTACCTCGCTGGGTATTGAGTGCCACTATATTACTTTCATCCATGGCGTTGTTATGGCTGTGTTGTGCTACAGCAGTCACAGCTCCCGATCAAAGAGTACCAAAAGAGGTAGGAGTTTCTGTTCAGAATCGTTGTCTCAAAATATATGCATTTCGTGGGCAGTTTTCACTTTATTTCAGAAATATTATTGGTTCTCTTTAAGCCTATGAGCACCAGTTAACTTTTGTCTTATTTCACAAAACAAAACCCACTTAATTTCAAAAATGTTCATTTTTTCCATAATTAAAAATATATATAAATTTGTAAAGTAATGAATTTTGGCTTTAAAATTATTTTTATTGGGGTCAAGTAGATTTGATTTTTGTGTACAGTAAACAGGTTTTATTTTGCAAGAGACAAATGTTTTTTGAATTTCTCTGGTGTCATTTGACATTAAGGGTCAGTGAAATTTTCTATCAGTTTGTAATAATACCTACTATTCATATACAGTAAAACCTGTCAAAACCGACCATGACTTGGACTGGGATCTATGGTCGGTTTTCAGAGGGAGTCTG